ACGCGCTGGTTTCCTTTTTGGTCCGCTCACGCCAGGGCCACAAAAATCGCACTCATACACTCAGGCGGGGGGTGTTCCTAAAGCGGGCGTTCATCTCCGGCTCCCCCCCCGTAAAGCTCACGGGCCCCAAGGGCATGGAGCGCCCGGTCACAAAAAAATTGCAAAATTTTGGGGAACCGGGGGGCGGGGGGGGGGGGGCGAGGGCGAGCAGTATCTCGAAGACAAGCGCAAGGTTGCGCTGAAGAAAGTCAAGGGGCTCGTCCTGTCGCAAGTTGTTCGAGCGAAGTAAGTTACGCATGCAGTGGGTCCCGTGGGGGGTTAAAGCATGGTGATATTCAGCAGTACACCCCCATGCAAGCGAAACAGCAATGTCGCCCTACACAACATCGCAGCGGCAGCATCAAGACTTGCTCTACTGACTTGACTGCCCCAACACTGCCGATGTAGTTTCCTTCCACTGGACACGCTACATATGTAGCAAAAACCTGATTTGACGTACACCAAGAGGCCCGAGTATTAGCATACCCCGGACAATGACCTGGATACTACGCCCAACAGTTCCCCCTTCCCCACCCCTGCCCCGTCCCGTCCCCTCTGCGCCTTCTAATTTGCAGATTCACTCTCTCGCCTGCGTCGATGGAGCTGCAAGTCATCCCCTCGAACTTCCAGCCCTTCAGCTCGGCGAAACGCCGGTACATCTCGAACAGCTCCTTCGCGAAGGCGGCCGCCTCGTCCCCCCCGCTGCCGCTCCTCACTTCCAGGAGGGCATTCTTCGAATCCCCTTCGTCTCTGTGATTGAGTTTAACCGCAATCAATTGCGCGTCCGATCGCATCATATTGACGTTCTTCTTCGTGGGAATCTGAATACGTCTATTCACGGGGGTACACAGGCTTGTAGCTAGGGCAACAACTGCGTGTCCTTCCCCGCTTTCTTTACCGATATACTGGACAAGAAACAGCGGATTTTGAACGAAGGGTCGTTCAGGAAGAACCAACATATTTTACAACCGACACTGGACGCGAGAATCTAACCAGTACGACAGGGACCTATCACCATCTCATTCCGATAACAGCGTTCGTGCGTGGTAGGGGTACCGGAGGCATCTAGCGGGGGGACGTACTTTTCGAAGGTTTATTATAGCGCGAAAGGGCTTTATTCTGATTTCTACAGATGGCGTTTTCTTGCAGGTTTACCTGGGCAGGAGCAGACTCGTGAGGTCCAGCCTGAGCTTCTCCAAGGCCGCCGTGCAGTCGGCGTGCTCCTCTTTGGCTATGCCGTGCATCTCTCGGTCGGCCTCCGCTCCGCCCGCGTTGGTCGCTTGCATCACCTGTATGTGCAACACGTTCCCGGCAGAGGCCGTTGCGCAAGGGGCACACGAACGATATGGGGAGGCAGAGAGAGGCAGAGAGAGAGAGAGAGAGAGAGAGAGAGAGAGAGAGAGAGACATACACACACACAGACAGACAGATAGACAGAGACAGCAACGACAACAGTCAGAGAAATGTGTATTTATCTAAGTTGTTCAAACAGGCCGAGGGTATTCGACACGATGATAAACCTATTATGCCTTCGTATTCTTACAACGCGAACGTCGCAATCAACATTTGAGACAAGGGTGTGAGATAGAAACAGACAGCATGGGGCACGAGCGAAACGTAGGCACACAGAGGAAAACCCGAGGCACACAACAGATGAAGAACCCAAGGGGGATAGATGTACCTTTAGGGCGTATGTTAACGAAGAGCCGAAAATCAATATCCAAATGGGCACAAAATCAAAATCAAAATGCGTTATCGTGGAAAACTGGAAAAAGAGGATCGTGTATGTTAACGAGGATAGGAGACAGATGAGGCATAAAATCCGCAAGACCTGGCGCCAGGGGAAGAGCCAGCAGCGCAGCGGTGATTTTTCTAGCGTGCGTTTTACGCTCTTCTGTTCACGTGTTGGCCGATATCTCGCCAAATACTGAACGAGTTGCCTCAAGGAGGGTATCCGGAAGGAGCTGGAAACATGGGCTGTTGGGCAATGCCAAGGTTTGGCGCCGTGAGGCGCCGAATGCGCCGGAAAAAAAGGTTGTGTTGAAGCAAAAATGCCAACGGTTGCGAGCGGTAACTTCAAGTTCGGTGTTTTGGGCCGCCACGGGTTGTGATATCCACCGAAAACTTTCCGAAGAAGGAAGCAACAGCAACAGCAACGCCACGCGGCAGGAGGTACGTCTCTGCTGCATCTTTCAAGCCCAAGGTCTGCTACCGTGGGGTATCGTGCGTGTAGGGAAAAAAGTTTTGGTTGACCCTAAAAAATCCACGTCAGAGAGCGGCTAGTTCAAGTTCGCGCCGAATGTCTGCTCACAGTTTAGTTTTTCAGCGATAACTCTTCGAAGGAGGAAGCAACAGCATTAGCAATGCCACGCGACGGGAGGTAGCTTTACCCATCATCTGTCTCGTACAAGGTTAGATGCCTTGGAGTATCGCGAGTGTGGAGAAAAAAGGTTGCAACTACCCCCTCCCACACGGAACAGCCCGAAAAAGCCGCGCAGCCCTGTTCTGATCGTCAGCCCGTTCACCGCTTGTCACGATCGGCATTTTCTCGTCGAGCACCCAACGAGGCGGCCCGTTTTATGGCTTGCCGGCGAGCAGAGTCTTCTGACTACAAATAATGGCCATGGTCTCGGTGGTAGGGTGCCGATAGCCCCTCTATGAGCAGTGTGCAGCAGGTCGCGTCGTACACTTGCTTTGCAGCGGCCTCGCGGCAGGTGCTCCAAGCCTTCGACGTCTTGAACTCCTTACCTCCTTGATTTTGATTTTGATAAAAAAAGTCCCCCGGGGACTTCTTCCCAGACAGAGGAACTTCTATAAAATCAAAGGGCGTCGTCAGGAGGTAGCAGATATTCGACCAATCAGATCTCGATTTTGATTTTGATTTTTTCGATTTGATTTTCGGCGCTTCGTTAATATACGCCCTTAGCAGGCGGGGGGGAGGAGAGAAAGGCGTGCAGAAGTTCAACAGGCCGGGGGGGAATATAAAAGGCTGCAGAAAGATGGTCCGGAAGAACAAACAGAAGAGGACCGCCGCACGTAAAAACTCAACAGGTATTTCTGGAGCAAAGCTAGAGCTCGCGTCATGAGTAGCAGCACCGCATCAACAACTGTCGGCAGCAGAATCACCTGTATAGGCCACTTAGCCCCCCTGTCGAAACAGCGCGCTGTATGTACTGTGCAGGAACACAACGTGCTGCTTTGGCTTCTTCTGGGGATGCCCTGGGACGCCTGATGCCGTCCTCTCTTTTTCTTCATCTGTGCAAGCGCTTGATTGGCTGCCTCTTGATTTGCTGTCTTTTGATTGGCTACAAGTACCTCTCACTTGCTTGCAACTCCCCCCCCCCCACACAATTCCGAGACAGCCGAAGAAGAGCAGACGCACGCCTACCTCCTCGAGGTCTTGGATTTCTGCGGCCTTCTCCTCCACCTTCGCCTGCAAGTCCAGCACGGCCTCTAGCCGCCCGAGCTCCTTGCCCACGCTTCCCATCTCTCGCACCGGAACCTCTCCCTTCGTCATGCTCTCGACGATCTCTTCATGACGCCTGTCAAAAAAACATCCGCAAGCTTGAATGACCATTTACACCGAAGACGGCAATTTGGAACCCGGCTCTCGATCAGAACGACACCTTGGGTTTAGAATTTCTAAAGATCTACTCCAGGTGTTGCCGTTGATCTCCCGCATGATTGGGCCATGGGATTGCGTTCTGGGTTCAGAGCACGAGATTTCATGGGTGCTTGAAAAGCAAACTTGCTACAATGTTAAGTGTGGGAATGTAGCACCCAACGTACATAAACTAACCCTTTGAGGCGTCACCTTCGCATCGTGGTACATACGTGTGACTACTCAGGGTGCTGTAGCTGCCCCTATGCTGTGTACACCAACTAAAGCCCGATCCACAGTATCGTGGGTGTAGCCATGAGAGCAGATCCGCCGTAGGTGAAGGGTACACACAAGTAACACTCCTACATGAGCCAAGCGAGCAGGTCTGAGACCCTCTGCACACAACGCTGGGGATGTTGTGTCGACTGCTGTCTTGCAAATGGATTTCGGATTGCATTTGGGAGCATTTACTCAGAGGAAGTACCTATGTTCTACGCGATACGTGTGTGGGATTGCTGGAGTTTTGACGCTGACGGACTGTTCCTTGCTGCCAGTGTTGAGCGTCTAGACTTCAACGGTGCTGTACCTATGTCGTGCGAAGTATCTAGTGCTCTGTCGTGTGGAACGAGAGGTAGATAGATTACTGCTATGCGACAACAGGAGTGGTAGTCTGGTCTACTGTAGACTGCTCTCTTTTAGTCTACACATGTTTGCTGGTTGTTGCAGTATTTCCGCACAGGTAAAGCAAACCAACGGCAAACCAAACAAACAAACTGAAAAAATAGCCCCCGCTTCATCCTCACCCTTTCATATGTTCCAGCCGTTGCCTCATGCTGTCAGGTAGCCACGACGATGCTGCTGCTGATGCCTCACCGCTCAAACCACGACCTTGAGCGGTAGGGCAGCAGCAGATGGGCTTGTTGTTCCTAGGTCGCTTACCGACCGTCGCCAGGCGCGGAATAACCCTTGCAACACGCCCAGCCACGAAATGGGGACGTACCAGCAAGGACATTGTGCGTGGTGTGCTGTTTGTGAGCTCTCTGTCCTCTCACAGCTCTGCTCTGCCTTTCTGCTATGCGCCTAGATGAGCGGCCAGAGGCCAGCTTACGACCAGCGGGACTGTCAGCTGCGCTGTGCGAGGGGGGTGACAAACCCTTTTTCACACCACTTTGCAACTTTGCAGGGCCCCCGACCGTTACTCGCAGTTACACGCAAGTTACACGCCCGTTTCGCCGTTTCGTTCGCGGATCCAGTCATGATTGGTTGATGGTTCATACAGCTTGTAAGACTGCTGGACGGACCTATGCATACGGCACGCCATGCAGCAAAATGATCTGAAGAAAAGTTGCCGCCGGAAGAAGGTTGGAATCAAGGGATGGATGGATGCGAACAGGGAGAAAGAGAGAGGTCGCCAGAAAAAGCACCAACGATCGATCGATCACGACTCGGCAAGGATGTGGATTGAGCACAGGACCCGAACAAGTATGAAACACTTTCGAACATGGGTCCACGTGCATTTATTTATTGCGGCTTGCCTGGTAAATCCCTGGGCCCTCGCGCTTACCCCGCCTCACTCAACACTGCACGAGCTTTGAGTCCACTGCTGTTGTACAGTAGTATCAGAGACCAAAACAAAAAATCCCACTACGTAGATAATGTGAAGGGATAGACGTCGGAGAGGGCCGCCGGCGACCGTGCGGGTGCGCTATGCGACCAGAGAACTGCGAAGCAATTAATTACTCAAACGCAGTAACAAGGCATGCATCAAGAAGCGATCACCCCCCACCAGCAGCTGCACATGTACCTCTATACGTAGCACGTACGGCGCTGGAAGAACTACAATCTAGGTCAAGATTTCCATGGCGACGTGCAGAACGCCAACAACAAAAAAATTGCTCGCGTTGTGGAGACCACGTTGATAAAGGTACAATCTCCCCAACGTCTGTCGAGGACGAAACCCTCTTTTCCACAGTGGCGTCGACGAAGAGATATGTGGTGAAGTTAAGCGGCGTTCGGTCAGGCTAATACTACCCCCCGTATCACAGCCACCACACACGATCGTAACACACACACACACAGTAGTACTCGAAGTCGAAACTTCTGACAATGCGTGGCGGAAGTGGTGCACCCGCACACACGCACAGAAGATTGTTGGAAAAAAGGTGGTTCTACTCGCCGCCAGCCGGTCGGGTTCCGGTTACCCCAAGAAGACTTCTCTTGCCTAGCAAACAAGAAGAAGTCTCGAAAAAGGGGGGGGTAATGTGGAGACCACCTTGATAAAGGTACAACCTCCCCAACGTCTTGTCGAGGACGAATCCCTCTTTTCCACAGCGTTCTTCTACGAAGAAAGGCGCGCCGTTGCACCAACTCGGCGTTTGTGCCCTCTTCGATGTGTACATTGAACCGGCTGCGAAAGCCATTTGTTCCCCCCCTCCCCTTCCCTCCCCCGGTGTTTCCCGTCGGGGTTGGGTTTTCGTCGCTTGGCAACGACGTTGTACAACAAGTCGATCACTTCGTGAGCTCGACAACCAGGTTACCGCTTGTTTTTGCCTTTGGCATTTTTTTGCGGTAACCCTGTGGTGGTCGAGTAGATCATGTTGTGCGAGGTCGAGAACCCTCACTCCTCGAAAAAGGGGATGATCGCAGCACATTGCGTTAAATTGGTCAAGCTCCATCGAGGCAGTTACACAACAGTGCTTATATCTGTCTCTGGAAGCGGAAGCAGCAGAAAATAAATTAAGTAATTCGCAGCTGGCATCCGTCCGCAAGAGGAAGTAAGCACAAGATGCCCAACAGCCTTACTTAGCACCCTTCATGCGATTCGCCGAATACCTCACGGTCGCGTTTGGTGATGTGAGAGCCTGGTCCGGTGAGAACCCGGCGTGCTCCGTCCCGGCTTTGTAGGGATGCGAGGTCAATGATCTATAACGACTACGGCATGCACGACTACGAGCACACACCCCTTCCCCTGCCCTCCCCTCTCCTCCCCTCCCCTCCCGGGTATGTACCTACGAAGATACCAACTAGCGACGGCGACGAAGCTCTGCGTACTATAATAATACCACTTGAGAAACGTACGGCCGGCCTGAAAACTAATGCAACAAACATCGCCCGACCGCGGCATATTTTTCTGGGCAGCATTGAATCCCCTAATCCCCCGACAAAACGAAAACGAAACTGCCTCTCTCACCACCATCCGTTGCCATGTAATGGTGCTGATACCGCCGTACCGCCCTACTGTAAGATGATGAACAGAAAAATATAAAGAGGAGCCGACAAACAAATTAATGTACATCCCCCAGATGCAAGTCAAACATTCTCTGCACGCTGCATGACGAACGACGACGACGCCATGCAGCAAGCGAGGGGCGCGCCAGTCTGGCGGAGGGTGTTGATCCTACAAAAAACGCAAGAAAACGAACCAGACAGAGAGGGGACGGGGGTCTTGAAAAACACCCCCACTCGAGACAAATACCCCCCCCCCCTAGACTCGAGACTGAAAGAAGACAACCGTTCTTGCTCCCATTTGTCTCGCAATTCTTCCCCCTTTTTCTGTCTTTGCCTATGCACGAGACTACGTCCCGATGTTTCCTTCGGCACAACGTTGACAAAAGAAAATACCAGTCAAAAGCAAAACGGAAACGGGAACAAGACCCTTGCTGTGATTTCATGTACATAAACAACACAAAGGATTGAAACAACAACAACAACAACAACAACAACATCAAGATGTACAAGCAGGTCGTCTGGTTTGCATACTCCCTGGCGCAAAACAGACAGCACACACACACCGCACGGCGCGCTAAAAATGAAACAGAACACCCACCCAATCGAAAAGCACAAGCAAAAAAATACGCAAAGCCACTGCCAACATGAAGACCCCCTCCGCGGGGTGCAATCAGACTTGAGACCCTCTCCAGCAGCGCAGGCAGACGGCCATTTTCTACATAACCCTAGAACACTAGTGATGAAGTCGCGCTCCTTTCGTTCTCGTCCGCGGCCCCCCATGTCTCAGGCGCCACCAAAAGTACGCAATTAGGATAACCCAAGGAAATAAATCTCAACGGTTAACCCCCCCCCCATCCCCTCCCAGCTCCACCCCCTGCCCAGTCGTCGCACACACTGCAAGCCACAAGTTGATTTGCAGCTGGTGGCCCCGCTTAATACCTCGCTTCCTTCTTTCGCGTTGCGACTTGCATGTGAGTTCACGGCTTTTGCAAAACCTGCAGGTACCCCAGTCCCGACCGCCGCCGTCCCCCGTCTTGAACCTGAATACCCGCAGCTTTCAGGGACGGAATCGCCCCGCAGGCCTTTTGAAGGTCCTGGAACGTCACCAACAACACACGCATCCATCCACAGCGTTTATTGAGGTTCGCTTCGCAATCAACGGCGAAAGAAGGGGCCAGTAAACACGGTACACAACATCCTGTGAGGGAGGGGGGCTCATAGGACAGCAGTTGAAACGAGATAAAGAGATTGGAAGACAAAGAAACAGATGGACATCGAGTCGACTGTCGAAATTTTTTAAGTTTTTCGCAGTAGACTACAAACACTTGTGCGACAGTGTCGTCAGGTTTTCGGTGTTCAACCGCGACCCGGTGTGATTGCTTTCCCCCCCTCTTGTTCCAGCGTCGCTTTTTCACCAAAGCCTGTAGCGGACAACAAATTAGAGGGCTGGAAACTGTCTATCCAACGCTACATAACCTCTTTTAACAATCCAAACCTAACCCCCTTGCGCGAAAGAAAAAGTGTTGTCGGGGTGCGCGATGAGATCGCGGCCAACAACCTCCTACCCCGCGGGACGAGCATTCGGAAGAGCTAGGGCACCCACCAACCGTACAAAACGCACCCCCACCGACAGCGGGCGGGCACAACTAAAGCCAACACCGAAGGTATGGATGGGATGGGATGGGATGGGATGGGATGGGATTTTCGTGAGACTCACCGCCGCGGTCGGCAGCCGGTTGGGCACGAGCAAGGGGTTCGACCGCCGCTGCATGTCGACGTTGGCCGCTCCCTTGGGATGACTGATGACGATCTTGCCTCCCTGTATGGTGCCAGGCGGCAGACAAGACAGCAGAGCGAGTCAACGAAAAGTCGACGAATGGCAAGCAGATATGGTGGGTTGGGCGAGCAGCAGTGACAGGTGGGGCGACAGGGGCAACAGCCGTGCTTGCGGGCAAGGCGCCGGGTGCGCGCCAGGTACTAGAGAAGTTGTGCACACATGTAATGGGGGAGGTGGAGAAAGAGGATTCGACCAGAACATGCCCAGAGGAACTATTTAGTACCCTAGAGAGAGTACCACGACGCGTCCTCTCCGCGTGGCGTGATGGGGGGACAGCGGAGAGGGGAGGGTCACACCAACAGGGGAGCTTATAGCAAGCAAGGGTGTTCATGCAAAGGCGAGGGTGCAAAGAAGGAGGCCCGCCTGGTGTGTGTGTCTGTCTTTTATTCATTAGCATCGACGGCACTAAGCGGCTGACCAATCAGAAAACGTGGGCGTGTGCGACACGACTGTTGCGGAAATAGGCCCAAACAAACAAAAAACTAACCAACGTGCTCTATCCGCTCTGCACGACTATACCACGATAAACCTCAGCACTTCTTGCCGAGTCAGCAAGGAGATATTATCTCGATGCACGCACAGTCCTGCCCGTGACTCTCGTCCCACCCTCCCATTAGCAACACTTCCGATCGGTGGTTACCCCCTGAAACGGGTTACAGGCGTTGTCCACGCAAGCTGTCTCGCCGGGTATTTGTTTCCGTTTGTGACGTTAGAGCGTGTGCCGCACTGCTGCCTGTGCCTCTTTCAGACTGTACCTCTTTCAGACTGTACCTCTTTCAGACTGTGCCTCTTTCAGGCTATGCCTCTTTCAGACTGTGCCTCTTTCAGACTGTGCCTCTTTTAGACTGTACCTCTTTCAGAAGCTTGGCCGCGTCCGACAGGGCCTCCCCGGGCTCGAGGAAGTTGTGGAGGCAGCCGTTGAAGAACACGTGGGAGAACCCTTCGCCGCCGGACAATAGGTGGTCTCCGCAGTAGTCAAGGAAGTCGGCCTGATTCGGGGTTCGTGTTTTGCTGTTCTCTTTACGCTGTTGTTGATTGACATGTTTTCGTGTTTGATGTTGTTGTTACACGGTTGTTGATGTCATGGCGGGGATGTCATGGGGTAAAGGCGGGGCGAAGGGTGTGCCCGTAGCGCACAACCCATGTACAGCAGCCCAGCATGCTCATAATTCACAAGCGTCTGCGCGTTGTGGGCCTCGGAGAGAAATACTCAACATTCGGTGAGGGGGCGCACTCTAAAGCACAAAAAATGTTCACCAGGCCATCGCAAACTATCATAGTGCTAAGCGGGCAGCCATGTGTAGGCAACAAATCTCCCGACACTGAAAACCTTGAGAAAAAAGAGGCCATGGACAGAAAACGGTACACCGGGGGGGGTACTCATAGTCGTGCATGCCGTAGTCGTTAGACCATTGACCTCGCATCCCTACAGAGCGGGGACGGAACATGCCGGGTTCTGACCGGACCAGGCTCTCACATCACCAAGCGCGAAACACCGTGAGGTATTCGGCGAGTCGCATGAAGGGTGAGCTGCATCCTGCTAAGGGTGTTCGGCATATCCTTCCTTGCGTACGGATGACAGCTGCGTATGACTTAATTTATTTTCTGGTGCTTTCACTTCCAGAGACAGTTATAAGCACTGTGTAACTGCCTCGAGGGTGCTTGACCATTTTAACACAACATGGTGCGATTATCCCCTTTGCGCGGAGTGAGGGTTCTCGACCCCGCACAACATATCTACTCGACCACCATTCATGGTTACCGCCCAAAAAAAAAACAAGGGCAAAAAAAAAGCGGTAACCTGGTTGCCGAGCTCACGAAGTGATCGGCTTGTTTTACAACATCGCTGCCAAGCGACGAAAACCCAACCCCGATGGCAAACACCGCGGGGGGCGGCACGTTTTACAACATCGCTGCCAAGCGACGAAAAGCCAACCCCGATGACAAACACCGGGGGGGGCGGCATGTTTTTCGTCGTTTCCAAGCGACGAAAACCCAACCACGATGGCAAACATCGGGGGTGGGGGGTACCGGGGAGGGGGGGTGACATGAAACGGTGTACCAGGATTTGGCGCGGGTATCGACCCCGAGACCCTCACGCTGATTGGCCAAGACCACCGAGTACAGCACCGTTCACCGTTTGCTGTCAGATCTCCCAACTCACAGATCATATGCAGAATTATACCAATCATGGACTCGGATCCAAATCAACCATCGCCGTGGAATCACATCAACCATGGCCGATTTCCGAACGCCAACAACACTGTTACAAACCGAGGCCCCTCGATTACCCTCTCAACCTCTTCAGTCTCTTTCCGACTATCTCCCAACGCAGAACCGTACGACCACAACGCCACCCCCCTGCGCGCACCACATGTTTTTCGAGATCGTACAGTCCCGTGTACGCCTCCACAGAAGAGGCATGGATGGGGTCTCCACGAGGGGGAGCATGAGAGGGTCGTAGACTCAATCAATCGAGCAAAGCCAGGCCGAGGTCATCAATATTTTGATCCTTTTCTCACCTTGAGGAAGGTGGCGTGGGGGTAGCGCTTGCTCGCCACGTCGATCATGACGGACGAAAGGTACACCCCGACGTATTTCTCCTGTGTGTGCGATGCCGTGTAAGGTGGTGTGCTTCGACGCGTGGTAATATGGAGGAGAACTGGCCAAAAACAACTAGGTCTCCCGAGTCCACCGCCGAGGAGTTCTATCACAAACAGACACAAGAATTCCGTTCGGAGGTTAAAGCCTATATACATGTAGACCGCAAAGCATCCACCGAAACACGCCTTGTCGCATGATAAATATTCGCGCATTCGGTGAGGACAGCGAAAGGGGTGTTCATGCGAGAGAATGTGCCTCCCCTTGTCTTGCAGAGCAGAGAAGAATAAGGCTTGTGACTCCATCTCGGCAACACCCCCATCCCATTCGTGCTAGGTGCTCCCTCTACCTTTCGAAACGCTTCCACTACTGTGTCTTCATAACTCTGCCTCTGGCTGTAGCTTTTTTTCCTCGCAGCTGCTTGCCGTACTGCTGTCCCCGTGTAAGGCAACAGAACGCCGCAGCCTTTTATTGCGCCGCACCTGCTTGACGCCGGCGCCCTGCAAGAACCGGAGGAGGATCCCGGTGCCGGCCCCTACGTCCATCACTCTCGAGTCGCCCGCGGCCTCCGATCGTTGGACCACGGCCTGCATGTGCTCCACGGCCGAGGGCGGTAGCTGGACGTTCACCTGACGCTCGTCCTTGACCCTGGCACGCCGCACCAGTGCACCGAAAATAAACCGTCAACGTACGCATCCCACCAACCACAGCAGCAGCAGCAGCAGCAACAGCAACAGCAGCAGTCAACAGCGTAGCGGCAAGCAGGTGTTATGTGGGCGAAGGAGAACTGCCGGAAGCATAAGGACGTGCTGGCGTAGCGCAAACAAAACAGCCGCGTCCCAAGAATACATGTAGACAGACGGCGGCAAACACCGGCAGAAACACAAGGCAGTAAGCACCAGCGTGCCAAACCAAAAGGGAAAAAAATAAGCGTGCGTGCGTTCCAAACAGCCCCAAGCGGTCGACACGCCGCGGTGCGCGAAAAGTTCAGAGCCGTAAAGAGCAACGCGCCTGGCTGAAGCATCCCATGTCGCTTCTTGGGCAATGTTGTGTAGGAGACGATCAGTGATGCCATGCTCCTCCTACGACATCAGCCAAGAAGCAACGGGTGGTGCGGGTGGGTGAGGTTTCCGCCCAAACGCGAGGCCAGGGTTAGCGGAGAGAGCTCGCTAGCGCACAAATGCATCCTGACGCTTGCGAAATGGTGGTGGCGGTGGTGCAAGCGGGTAAGCGAAAAAAATTCGCTCCATCGTTACTAGGCAGCAGCAGAGCGAAACAAAGAAAAAAACACGATGCCAAACCTTCGGGGGATGCTGCAGGGCTACCGGCAACCGTCAGCTGCTGGGGGCGAAGTCGCACCGAGCTGCTGCCAAGAGCTCTACATCAACCCACAACACACACATCTTCCGTTCCTTCTCCCCCCCCCACCCCCCACTCCCGCGTTTGTCTTGTCAGGGTAACGTTGGACAAGGAGGAGGATGAGGATCGTCATGCCATTTGCCGCCATCCATGCGGTCGATGAAAGAGGTTTCGGAAGCAAAAAAAAGGAGGGGGTTGTGTGTGTTACATTTTCGTTGAAATCGCTTCATGCACAGCTACTATAATAGGCCGGCATTTGCTGCAACAGGTTCGCGTGGATCGGCGTAACACCAATCATCGTTAGGTATCATAGACGTAGAACGCCTTCGTCAGAGTTGTTGGACACAGGTAGACACCCTGCGGACAGAAAAGAAGGACACCACGTGAATTTTGTGGAGAGGTCAGATTTCGATTCAGGAGACCGTTCGAGACGAGAGGAGAGGCTCATGCATCCTTCGAGCGCTAGCACCGCCCTGCACGCCGTTCATGGAAGACACAATTTTGCAGGTGCACATGGAAGCCACCGGGAGCACGTGGCAGTATTGGCTTTGAAGCATGCTCTCTGTCTCTGTCTGTCTCTGTCTGTCTCTCTCCCTCTCATCTCTTATCTCTATCTCTGTCTCCGTCTCTATCTCCCTCCCTCCCCTCTCTCTCTCTCCCTCGTCTTCTTTTTCGATCCATGCTATGCCCAGACGGCTGTGGCTTCACCTGGAGCCTCCTGACTTGCGCCTCGGCGTCTTTCATTTCCTGGACTTGTCGAGGGGGTAGCTCCGACTTTAGCGTGGGAGAACGAGAGAGAGAAACGGAGAGAAAAGCGAGGGAGAGGGGGGGCGGGGCGTTAGGGAAGCAGGCAGGCGTCGCAATGATGATGGCCATGGTGGAATATGGAAATGCCTACCCATCCGGGCGAGACAAGAGTGTGTGTGCTTACACGTGCCAAGCATATTCCCTCAACATGCCGACATCAAAAGCATACCGCATCCACCATTAACTGCACAGAGATCTCCGCAGGACGCTTCCAAAGCACTGAGGAAATTTATAGCTGCGAAATTCCGCACGTGAGAGCGATAGTTGGAATGGCATGGCCTACAATACGCGTGGTGCATGCGAAGTCGCCCGGGTGATGACCCCGATCTCCGGAACAACGGCATGAGAGTCGAAAATGCTTGCACGTGGACGAACGACGGTTTGCACCGTGCGCAACAAAACCAGAGACAGCAACAGCACAAAAGCCAAAGACAGAGGTACTCAGAGGCACTGTAGAGCAAGCCTGGAAATTAAGGTGGGTTGGCTCATACATGTATATCAAGCAACGGATTGGGCGAGCACACTCACGAGCTGTAGGATGTTGAGGCCGACCGTCTGTGCCTGCCACAGCGCCAGCCTCTTCTTCAGCTCGAGCGCCTCCCACACGAAGGGCTGGGCCGTTTTGAGCTTGTCCATGCTGCGTCGGATGGACTCCTCCGTCTGCCGCATGACTTCCTCCTGTCGGTGGAGACGGTGTCGTCCACGAAAACAGCAACAACGACGATGACGACAAGAGATGACTAACGCGCGTTGGTGAATTTCGACCTACGAATGAGGTCCTCTGTCTATAGGTTCGTCGGACCTTCGAGCATGTAAAGATGACAGTTCCATGGTCAGACCAAGTACGACCTTCTTCACGCAGGAAAACCTTCGTCATCGACCGGCACTAGTTAACAAGAAGACAGCCGCTTGGTCGAAGGCCTTACCCTCTTTCTCACACCGTGTCGTCTGTGGAACTACGCCGCGAGCAAACCCCGCGACGTGGGGCCCGAGCGTTTGTCAAGATTGGCGGTCGATCCAAGCATGTCGGACATCTTGTGTGTGTCCAGAGGTGTTCTACATGCACTACTGCAGTATTTCCCCCAGCATCATAACGGCCAGCGGCCGTGCGTTGGCGCTGGGTTGGGTGACGTGATGAGTATTTTAGTCAAGTGTCCGTCGCCAAACATAGAAGAAGCGCATACGGTACGCCTTTATTACCATCTTGCGGCAGAGCAGGTGCTTGCTGTTGATGATGATGATGTTGAGAAACAATGTAGAAGCTTGTAGAGGACGACGGACTGTGGTTGACGGCTATATGGTGAAGGACCGCCGGCAAAACAAGCAACGGGGTTTAACCCTTCTCGTACCTAGTCCTTCCGCAACAAAAAAAATGTCGCAAGAAAATGTTTGTCAGCCATTGGTCAAGGGGCTACAGTCCCTCCACAAAGAATCTGAGCTCCTTGCCAGACAAAGGGTGACTTGGCTTCAGTATGAAAAGTGTCCCCGAAACACGTGGGGACACTTTTCATACTGAAGCCACGTCAGAAATGTTTTCGATGTACAGTTTCAGTTTTTCGACCTAGGGAGCACGATGGACATAAGCCAGTCGGGGGGTTCCGTTCCATCACGGTGGTGCTGTTGCAGCATTTCCACGATGGGTGCGGCAGCCGGAGATCGAAGAACCTGGGGCTCCTGCTCGGAATCGTCGCCCTGCTCTTCGTCCTCGCCACCTCTGCCTCCAGTACCAGCAGAGTATCTTGAAATTCGTCGACGCCAACAAGGACACAAGCTTTCCCTCGTTGAGGGCCTCGTTGAGGGGAGGTCCAGGTCGCAGTAGTCTTTTCCCACTACTCAGGGCTGGCAGTTTCCTTCGTTGAGATTTAGCAAGGAGAAGGTCTGGGTCTCGGACGAGCGAGAGGAAAGAGAGTGCCGCCGGAGAGGCGAGGGAGACCAAGCCCAAGGGTCTCGGATTCCCCAGCTCCGCAGATGGCGCCAAGAGGGACGCATCAATAGTGGATAGTCGGGTTTCTTGCTGATCAACCAATCAGTAAGATCCTCCGCTCGGATCGTATCTTGGTCCTACTTTTGTATGTGCAACAATGGTTACAGCACTTCTACACCTTGTCCACATTTCAGATCCATTTGAAATCGTGCCCCCCCGCTCCCTAGTATTGAGTCCTAATTAACTGCCTCGAGGGGTTGAACAATACCTTCGAGCTTGAGCCAAGACGGGTCACGGCCTTGCGCGGTAAGTGACGGCATCGTCCGCGCCGCTTCCTTTAATCTGCATGTCTTCATATAACTGCTGTACCTGAACCGTGGCGCCAGTTGTTGCCGCTTTGGTGCCAGCTCCGACTCGGGCTGCCTTCGCCGGTGCTGTCGATTTCTTGTTCCCGCCGCCGCCGCTGACCCGGGGCATCTTGGAGACAGGCTTACCACCGAAACCTGTTGCATTTTGGAAGACTAAGACTCCTCGTGACTTTCCGCGGCAGCAGCGTTGCCAGATTTGATTTTGTTTCAACTTTTGCTACCGCATCGCGCTCGGTGCCGGTGCCGCTGGTGCGGGGTATACTTGCGGAGGATGAGCCCAAGGGGGATACAGTAGCGGCTACGGTTTAACATACGATTAGCCCCATATTCCTCTGTTAAATCGGCACTTCTGTTAAACCGTTTGGCTACGGTATAACATAGTATTCTCTGACCCCGTCACTTCAACAGAATATTCTGTTAAACCGTAACCAAAGCGAAAGGCCGTGAAACACGCACCCAGTCGTCCCAACGACAGCAGCATGTGCCATAAGAAAGAGTGCATGGAAAGCGTATCATTCATGCCACGTATCGCAGCTAGCGTCAGCACCTTGGGCTAGCTCCACGCACCGCCTTTTTCTGTTATTGGTTGGCGAGCAATGTAGGACCCAAGTACATAGTGGTATGCTCGTGATAGAAAGTGTCGGGAAATAAATCAGGGTGTCCTGCGCCAAAGCACGCGGATGATCAATTCTGTATGTACGTAGTTTTGTTGAGTTGACTTTGTTGTATAGTTTTGCTACATACTCGCACGAGAGTAGTCTACCAGCACGAGCCCACGGATGCACCAGGATCCAAGAGAAATCCACCCAATCACCCACTGGACGAAGCACTCCTACCGCCCATCCCTTCAACACGCAACACCCACACAACCCTAATCCCATTCATGCCAAGCCCCCAACAAAAAACGAGCCAAAGAACGAAAAGCGCTTCACATTTCACTGTAACAACATATCGCACGCACTGTAAATCTTGAGCTGTGCGTGTGTTGAGTGTGTAATAACTGTGTGACTTGGCTTCCAGAACCTCGGTTTTAAACAGAAAATGTCAGAAATGAGTCAAATTGTTTTTTGCCGTGCGAAGTGCCAAGCCAGTTCACTTCTATTTCTGTTGAACATTTTATGTTAAACCGTAGCCGCTACTGCTGTATGAGAGAATTCAAGCTGCAAGATAGTACAAACGTACAAACGCGTAAGTACACAACTTAGCGCACAGTAGTGACATGGCTTTAAAGTGAAGTGCAGACAATACAGCAGTACACACACGTGACAGAGGCAGCGAGGAGGCATGAAAGGGCCCGGGTTTGTACACATGCATACGCAAGATTTTTTGCACCATATCCATCGGGCACCACAAAACACACCACTCCGTGCGCTCTCACCCGCCACCTTGCTCGAACGCGTAGCTTTAGTCTTCCCCTCAGATGTAGAGCTCGGCCGGCCGAAGCCCTTAGCATCCATCCTCAGAGCCGGTGGTGCTCTGGCGTTGCTCCTACAAGAAACGCCGACGAGGGCGTCGGCATCATCTGTCATGAGGCGGCAGAAGACCAACGTGCAAAGGACTAGAGGGAGGCCTCCAAAGTTCCTCATGATTGTCACCAAGGCGCTCCTCTGCGTGTTCAAACGTATCGTCTTCTTTCGTGTTCTCTTGTCGGACTCTGAGCATGTCAGGTACTCACCAGAGCAGCAGCGGTGCACTGCGGGACTGCGGGACTGCGGGAGCACAGCGGCGGGACTGTCATATTGTTTTCATTCGGCGGGGCCCCTGCCTCGACCACCAAGATCTGGCCGTGGTGCTCCCTGCCCTGCTGTCTGTTGCTTTCTATTGCCAGTGTGTCGATCATGATCCCTCGAGTCTGTCCCCCGCGCATGCTGTGCAAGGCGAGGGCGAGACTAGTTGCAACGGAGATAGCCTCAGCGGTGCGACAGGAGTGCTGTTCGGCTGTTGGTGCAACCAGCAGGCGGCAGCTTGGAACAACAGCAGCAGCAAGCACGGCCGGCGGCAACGGAAGCAGAGGCAACCACCACCAACAGCAAGATAAGGGTGAAGAAGAGGGAGGACGACCGGAACGAAGTGTCGCTACTGTAGGTGCCTCTCCATACACGCTGCCGCCACCGACGTGGTCGCTCTCGGACCTAAATGTTACGGACGACGACGAACGCGGAGGAGATACAGCAAGGAGCGCTGTGCTCAGCAACGAGGAGGTAGGGGGGTGTAGCGGGAAACTGCTGTACTGCGCTGTTGTTGTATACCACACACCGTACAGCAGTGGTGGAAATGACGACACTCTGCTGTAGAACATGGTGGCGTACACGGGTGTGGATAAACGGTCGTTCCCTTAACATGTGGTTTCAAGAGGACACTCAGAAATGAAAGAAACTACGGCGGGGCATGTATGCACAATGCACATGAACTGCGAATTCGCCTGCTGCGCCTTGGTTGCGCAGTTAGGTTTGTGCAGTGTGAAATCTACATAAATTTATGCCATGCGCACGGATGGGGAGTGAGTACGTGAGTACGGATGGGGAGTGGTGAGTGGTGTTTGTTGTGTTAAACAGCACTCTTGCAGCAAGCAGTGATGATATATTGTGTAAAAAAACACAGCAGTAGTTAGACTACCTATACTAAAGAGGGTTAAAAATTGTTTTCTTCGTCGAACATGACAGAGGCGGAGCGTGAGCGCGGTCCCCGCGTGTGACATTCAAACGAGTCGTGACTGCTGTGACGGATATCCACCTACAGATATCCACCTACTGCTTCACCCTGCTATTGTTGTTGCTATGCTATCATTTACAACACAACGAACGATTGATTGACTTATTGATTGAACACGACTGACTGACTGCAAGGAAAATCGTTCGTAGGGGTTCGGCGTGTGTGTGGCATTTTCAGTCTCATCAGTTTTTATCGATCAACATCCATCCATGGAATCGTCTTTTATTCCCGACCCTCTTTGTTTTCATCTCGATCCCACTCCGGGAGCTCTCCTACTGCTGTTATGCGGCAGAAGAAGTGCTGTGAGCGCTGAAAGTGACGAAAAAAAAACAATGGTGATGCCAACGACAGCAGGCAACCGTTTTCATAAATATGTATCGCGTCTTACACACATACTACTCATACATACAACATATATGTATACATACGCAATTACAAATCGTGTCGGGTTGTGTAGGTAAATGCTGCTGTCGGCTTGTTGCACGGCTTTCATTGATGATGGACGGCACTAAGAAATTGATCCCCTAACAATTTTCCAAGTACGGGATCAAGGGGAAAATGTGGAGAGTGCTGAAGAAGATGACAGAGTGTACGAAAAGCGCGGTCATGCTAGACGGAGAACTGTCTAAATTCTTCGATATTGAGCAGGGGGTCCCACAAGGTTGCACGCTGTCCCCAACATTGTTCCAGGTGTTCATCAACGATCTGTTGGAAGTCGTAGAGGCAGTCCGGAAGGGAGTAAAAGTAGGGGACACGGAAACTTCGGTGTCAGGAATGCTGTTTGCGGATGATTTTGTTGGTATGTCGGACACCCCTGAGGGACTGCAACTACAAATTGACGCGGCGAAGAAGTTTACTGATAAGTGGAGATTGTCTGCCGACGTTAAGAAGAGTGCCGTCATGGTATGCAACGAGGTAGGGAGGAACCAGTAGAACATAGGTGGAAGTGGGGGGTCGAGGAGCTTGCAGTAGTGGACCAGTACACGTACCTCGGAGTAGAGATCGCAAAAGACTGCTCGTGGAATGCACACATGTCCAAGGTAGCGGAAAAGAGCAAAGCACAAGCAGATAAGCTGCACCCAATACTCGCAAACCGGCACCTCGATACACGTATCAAATTGACGGTTTTGAAGAGCGTAATCGTACCGCCGCTAGAGTACGCCGGAGAAGTATGGGAAGGAAATAAGAAGGTAGTGAAAGAACTCGAGGCGGCGCAGATGAACACAGCGAAAATCATCCTAGGATGCTCCAAGCGCACAAGTAATGCAGCCGTCAGGGCAGAATTGGGGATCCAATCCCTACGGTCGGGAAGAGACGCAAGGAAGCTGACATGGCAGTATCGCATGTGCGGGATGGGAGAGGAGAGGTTGCCGAGAATAGTATGGGAGGCGAAGTGGGCAAACAAAAAGAGGGGTAGACAACCCACGGAATTGGGTCAAGGTTGTAGAGGACGTATGGAAGGGGTTAGACATCGACGAAGATGAAACGCTGGAAACGGAGGGTCTACAGGGGTTCAAGGAGAAGATATCTGTTGCTTGTGCCGAGAGAGAAAAACATAATCTAAGGAAAGAAACCAAGGATAAGGAGGGTCTAGAAGTGTACGGAATGTTGAAAGAAGGACTAGGGTTCAAGGATTACCTACATGGACCAATGGATGCAGGCAGAAAGCTTAAGGTCAAATTCAGGACCGGGGACATAGGCCTTCGAGAACGTCGACGAAGACATAGGACGATAGACGACGAAGACGACAAGTTCAAATGTGATTGCGGCTTCGAATGCGAAGACCGTGTTCATGTAGTCGCGGAATGTCCGTAGTACGAAGAGGAGAGGGAAGTGTACATGACTGAGCTGGGAAAAATACAAGGGACGTACAGGGAGGTGTTTGAGGCATGGAATAGAGAGGAGAGGACGGTAGCTGTACTGGGGAGTAGTACGTGGTTTGAAAAGGCGGGAAGGGATATCGTTAGGATAGACAGACTAGGGAAGACATTTTTTAGCCACTTTTGGCAAAGTAGGAAGGAACGATTGGCCATCGGTGATCGTTCCTGTGGGAACAATGCTCCGTCCTCTCGAGGACGCGTGGTCAATGGTCTAACCGCTAAGGCATGAAAAACGTAAGAGTACGCTCCCCCCCCCTCCCCCCGGAGGTATTGCAAGTGTTACCCACGATCATTAAGAGAAGGGAAAGTTGAAGCTGTTGCTGCTCAATGGTCTGTCTGACCCCGGTCGTTTTCACGCCAGAAATGCTCGACGCGTCCTATTAGTCTCTTCTGGTACCGCATGCAAGCGCCACCATCGTGGCAACACGGCCCGTTTATGTAGGATGTAGTACCAATCACGTCACGACCATCCCGCTCTTCCCCTCCCTTTTTTGCGCCATGTATGCATGCTCGTATGCATTCATGTAATGTATTGTATGCATACCGTCGTTGTCATGAGATATCACAGCCCCTGCAGCAGACCAATGTTCAAATATCGATTTTTTCTCGACGAATAGGATGCATGAATGAAACGATGCGTTTTCGGAAAGCTCTCGACGAGACGGCTCCAATGCCGCCATTTTTCGGCACGGCCACTCTTTCTGCTGTGAAGAAGTCGAGCTCTGAAATTCGGTCCAGGGGGTGTGATGTCTTAAGTCATCTACGGTAGTCTACTAGTTGGGTTGTTGCTGGACACACATGATCTCGGGCAGATCGGGAGGTATATGGATATCAAGATATCGAGTCCACGAGAAAAGGTCCCCGACGGCATTGCTGTATTGACCAGCTCTGACGTTTGCCTCCATCCCTTTGCCATAGCTGGCGGTTGAGCCGCCCTGGATTTGCTAGTCCAAGTGCGAAAGTCATTCGCAAACCCGTAGCCGAGCTATGGGGACTGTGGGCTTGTTTGCGGCCGTGTTGTGCATACATACGAAGTGCTTCCGGAGTTTCTACCGTTTTACCAGCAGGAGTGTTTCCCTGTTGTGTCTAGAGGGAATCCGTGCAGCGCTTGGTTGCGCGGGTCCCGATCCGATCGTGTTCGCATTGTTGGCTTTATTTCTCTTCACTCTTCGATGAATGAGAAACTTGTACATGCTTCACTGGTTTCATCGAACGCAACATGGAGAACTCTTTTCTCCGTGGGGTGAGTTTGATATCACGTGGAGGACTTGCTGAAAACGAACCTGCTGTCTGTGGTGCTGGTGGTCCCTGCGGTGGACCGCCCTGATCCATACATATATGTAGCTGAAAGACGAAGCACTTCCTCAGCCAACGCGATATACATGAAGCTCTCTCAAGGAGCAGTTTGGCTCAAGCGGAGCGAATAGAGGGACGCCCCCGCTGGCACCACCTCGCCAACCAATGGGGGACGCTTCGTCACATTGTCCTCGCCAAGGTTAACATTGTAGGTGCTTTGTAGACGCTTTATTTCGACCTGACCTGTGGGTAGAAAGCGGTCGTAGTCGTGGAAGAATAGCGAATACCTGTAGGGCACGGACGGTATGATTGGTTGGTCGGTGTTGTCGTGTTTGTCTCTGTCTCATGTGTTGGTGGAACCTTGTGGTATCGACCTTCCTCTTGCTGCCTGCTTGACCGACCTCCTTCATGCTTCCTCCTCCCTGGGGGGCGAAACTTGGGGGGTATATACCTCGTCGATCAACGAACTATCAGGTGGCCAAGCTGTGTGCACTTGCGCACATCGAACTCGCACCCGAAGGCGCCGATGGCAGCTGCAGCAGCGGGAAACTCGACGTCTCCGCCGTAAAGAAAGACGTCGGGGCAATGCTAAGGTGCATGCAGACTATGCGAAGGGAGATCGACGACAGTAGCGGCGGCGGCGGCGGCAGGGGTAACCAAGAAATTGAAGGGGAAGAAGGCGAGGACGGACCTTGGGGGGGAGCTGTATCGTGGGCCGCGCCTTTGGAAGAGGTGAGTTCCAAAATGAGCTGTGATTTTTTCACTCACACGCACAATGTTTTCCGTGCCTATCTTGGGCACCAACGGTAACCACGGGCTGTGAATCCCCCCTGAGAGGTTGGCCCAACGGATAGCTACTGGTGATGGTTTTGCTTTTCCCAAGTTGACGACTTTTGCTTGCCCCGTACCGCTTGGTCTCATCATTCGTAGCTTGACGTTCTCCGCCCGCCCTTCATGTTGTGCCGCCAACGACCTCCCCTCCTACAACCCCCCCCCCCCCCCCCGAACAAACTATAATACTGGCAGGACGTGGTATCAGATGGAGGCATACAAAAGGAAGTACTAGGAGCAGCCCAACACACGGAAGATGGCTTCTTCACCGCCCCCAAGGTGGTGTAGATAGAGAGAGCTCTCGTGCGGTAAGCACGTAGGAGACCCCGGGTGATGTCATTCCGGCCTCCTGGGAACTTCGGCTTGGCGCAGGCCATGGTCATGGATTTTGATGTCCAACGCGTCACGGTGATGGAGAGAGCAGCTGGTCGAGAGAGAGCCCAGCGTTCCGAGGGGGAGGGGTGGTGATAAAGGACGTGATGGCCTACAGTTGGCCTAAGATCGTGTTGTATGTTGTTGCTGTTGTTGGACGATGTATTCACATCAAATGAACAGTTTGGTATCGGGGCCACACATTCTCTCTCTTACTACTCACTCATGGTGATGATTGTAGGGTGTTTTTGCGAAAACGGCTTTGCCTTAGCCCTTCCTCAGCGCTGGTGGGTATCCAAGCACTGCCGCTCTTGTTTGTACTGAAATTGCTGGTGCTGGTTCCGGTGGCAGGTCATAGCCACCACACTCCGGACTCTCCGCTCACCCAGATTTGAGGAGTCCGTAGTCCCGGTGTCTATTATGTCGTGGGAGTTTGACGGCATCAACCCGCAGACTATCATTGTCTCCAGTCACATCGACCGATGTTGTTGTGTAAGCACGCAAGGTTCGTGAGCGAGGCGGTATTCGGCAGACCCCCAGCCCTGAAAAACCGTTAATGAGTATATTGATGATCACGGCAGGTGGTATGGATGGATGGTCAAAGAAAGGTGGTCATCATGCCAATGGTTGGCAATGGACCGGTGGGTGGTTGTCGCAGCCGATGTGATGCGTTTGCTCTTTCTCTTTGGGTACTGGTATGTAAGCGTAGGGATCTAACAGACAGCCACCAACCAGAAGCTTTTACTCCGCGAGTTGTTGCGAATCACGTGTTACTCCTCGCAGATCTATTTTCGAAGTCGGCGTCTTCGGGGACGGACTGAATAAAATCCACGCTTCAGCTTTCCCTTTCATCACCAACACCGCCCGCGAGAATTTTCTCGGGGCAATCTGCTACGAACTTCTACGGCATCCGGGACAGCGCAGACCACCATGCCCTCCCCAGTCGATGCTCGAAATTACGTCCGACGTAACACTTTTTGCGCACACACTCTTTGCAACCGAAGAAGAAAAACAACACATAGCCGGGTAGTAGATGCATGCATGCATTGCATATTTTTGTTGCAAGGACACATGCATCGGCATGCATAGGGGAGCGTCGCAAAGTGTATTTCAGAGAGGCGCAGCCGTTGCCCTGCCTCCAGGAAGAATGTCATGTGAGAGCGCACTTTTGTATCTTTTTTCGTACCAATGCGTCATGTGAAGTGCTTCAAAATCCAGAAACAAAAAAGCAACAAACGAACGGTTGGTACATACAGCGGTACAGCGTCCCTCCCCCTCTTGCCTACCCCAAGTCAGTCAAATATAATGAAAAATTAATATTGCCGCCACAATCATGTGCCTCATTTTCCATCGAGATATATACGGCAACTCATGTTCGTGTATGACCAAACGTCAAACAAACGTGGCCACAAAAATGGTGGTGGCCTCGCGGCTGGCGGTTGACGGCGGCGGAATTGACCCCCCTACTCTTAGCTTGATACCAGTGGCGCGCCCCCCCAGTCGCTACCGCCCGTGTACCGTGTGCCGTGCGCAACACACAACAGAAAACAGACCTCCTCTCGTCTGCCGCCGCTGTCATGACAGACTTCTCGTCCAAATCCAACCCACCACAAGGGACTGAACATGCTGAACCGCCATCATTTTTTGAGGTACGGAAGTCCGGAGTTGGTGTACACTATCAGCGGTCTTCGCTCTCGCAGGCACACGATCAATTCAAAACAGATTTGTTCCGCTCCATATGCTGGCTTCACGATAAGCCCCCCAAAAGATGTGTGTGACGGACGGCTGCCTGTCTGCTGCTTGTCTACAGGAACTCCATCGGCAATACGTTATAAGGATCTCGGAGCAGACAGACACCTTCGAGTTCTGTATGACGGAGGTGGGTGCTGTGCAGGCCTTCGTTCTACATGTATCCGGAGACGGCGGTGTGACCACCACCGAGTTAGGCTCCGAAGCCGTCTTCTTGCGTTTTGCACCATGCGGTGGGGGAAGGGGAGTCATCATGTGTTACCAGTCCAGTAAGTGTTTCGAGGACGGGCGGAAGGACGAGACAGGTTGAAAAGCTACCGTGTTGTGCACAGCTCATGTTTTCTGTTTAACAGTAGGGTGTGCTTGGAATTGGTCCGCCTACCACCTGCGAGTAAGGTTGCACTCAACGTTTACATACCGGTGTGTTATGTAAATACTTCAGTACCATGTTGCCGCTGGGTTTGTGGGGCAGCTTGGGACAGCCCTGCCACGCGGCTTATCTCCGTGCAAGTGTGCAAATAATATCCGTCTGGGCGTGAGTACCGCAGCTCGCGGGGGCGAAACAGTGGTATGTACATGTGCACACCAAGCTGCAATATTTAGGCAAGAGCTCGATTGCACATTTCGCCAGGGGCAACAGGCTTGGAAGGGTACCGCAGTAGCTCAACGCTTTCTCGAGCTTTTTCGCTTACATAGCAGCTCACGCTCGAACACGAGCAACCGAGCTACCTCCTCGTGGATCCTCGGAGATATTCATGTTCTGCACCTCACTCCCGGCAACTCTGTAGGGTACCTCACGGAGCCGCGAACGGGTCGCACGTGGCTTCACGCTCAACATGTTTCCAAACACAAGAGCCTGAGCACCATTTGGAAGAACCTACACTAAATCCTATACAGCGGTCAATTGTAGCCCACAAGAGGAAACAAGAACCTCAGCCTCTGTCAAAACTAGAGGTTCTTAAGTCCGGGCGCTATCTCTACTAGTAGTCTCCACATGCAGCGTGCCGAGCCGACCACCCTCTGCCGGCTTGATGGACGTTTAAAGTGATTCTCCTATCCCTGTTCAATGAAAAGAGAGACAAACATTTCAGCACACTTCGCTGCGGCGTCGGTGGCAGTTATCACGCATGTACCTGATCGTCTCCCTGCTACACCAGCGTCAGCGCCGATGGCAGGCAAAAGGCAGCGGCCACCACCGCATCTACCCTGGCTGCGGTACCTGCCTGTGCCGGGTCCTGTTCCTGCAGTCGGCGACGATGATGGCGACGGTTGAGAAAGAGCAGGCACGCTTGACGGCGGCAGCAGCAGCGGCCACCACCGCATCTATTCGGGCTACGACACCACAGCAGGTGCCGTAGCTCACGTAGATTGCGCCGATGGATGCTACCGCTTCCGCCGTCGAGCGTGCCTGCTCCTGTTCCTGCAGTCGGCGGCGATGATGGCGACGGTTGAGGAAGAGCAAGCGAGTAGGCACGCTTGACGGCGGCAGCGGCAGCAGCAGCCACCACCGCATCTACGCGGGCTACGACACCATAGCAGGTGCCGTAGCTCACGTAGATTGCGCCGATGGATGCTACCGCTGCCACCGTCGAGCGTGCCTGCTCCTGTTCCTGCAGTCGGCGGCGATGATGGCGACGGTTGAGGAAGAGCAAGCGAGTAGGCACGCTTGACGGCGGCAGCGGCAGCAGCAGCCACCACCGCATCTACGCGGGCTACGACACCATAGCAGGTGCCGTACCTCATGTAGATTGCGCCGATGGATGCTACCGCTGCCGCCGTCGAGCGTGCCTGCTCCTCCTCAACCGTCGGCATGCATGTTGCCGACTGCAGGAATAGAGGCCGGCACGGGCGGGGCAACCAGTGCAGGTGGCGTAGCTCAGGTAGATGCGGTGGCGGCCACTGTCGCTGCCGCCGTCGAGGTCCCTGATGAACATGGACATGGCGATGCAGCCAGCAGCACGCAGTTGGAACACAGACATCGGGACAACAGCAGCAGCAACAAACATACAAACAACATTGGCAACTGCACGGTCCATAACGTAATTCCAAGCCACCTTTTTCAAACCCGAAGCACCCCCCCCCCCCCGCACAGTACACCACGCGATACGATCGTTCTATTTGAGCGGCCGGCCCCCCAATGGACAGCGACGACGTTATTTTGCGTGCGTATCTGCCCCGCCGGCTTGCGCCGCCGTGGACGCAAGAACAACAAAAACAGGGGCACCGCTTGAACAGCCCCTATGACTTCTTCTCGAAGCGCGGGGACGCCTCCTCCTCCTATGGGGATGGTACATTCTTCTGTTTTTTTTTTCTTCTTTTCTGCTGCGGCGCTGCCTCCGTCTCAAACCCGCTATCTACAACAGCACCCGACCCGCCAAGTAGCAGCCTTACCCCGAAGGTGACCTGACTTGCGAGACATCATCCTTAGTAATTTTTGTACTGGTTAGTGGAGCTTCCGTGCCTGCAGCCTAACCATCACAAGGTGCAAAAGCGACAGGATTCACACGACCTCCTTCTCTACCGCCCTCTGCTGAAGCCGATGCCTTGTAGCGCTGTGCCTCACCGATACCACGCAATAACACCGGACATGAACCACATCGTACGACACGAATCGAAAAAACAAACAGCACCTGCGAATGTCGGGGGTCTACTGGGGCCTGATGGGCATGGCCTTGATGGGGCGAGACCTGAGGAAGGAGATGGGCGCGGAGGACCTCGCGAGCTGGGTCATGCGGTGCCAGCACGAAGGGGGCGGGTGAGGAGGCCTCGTGAACCGTACAGCTATATGTATGCGCCCGTAGTCGTGAGCTGGCTGGCCTTTATTTTCGTGGCAAGCACGCCGTGTCCGCACCAACGATTTGTGTGTTCTATATAGTCACTCAGATACTAGGAAGAAACGTAGACGAGTGCGCTACGTAGGTCATGCCCTTGGTTTGTCACTAAATACTGTTGCGTTGCTTTCTCGGCCAGCTGGCGGGCGTCCGCTGAACAAGTTTCAAGAACACGCGTGCGTATCCCGTAACGTTTTTTGCTACGATTCTTACACACATAGGTTCGGCGGAAACGAGGGGCACGACCCGCACATCTTGTACACCCTGAGCGCGCTGCAGGTGATGGCGCTGCTGGGGGAGCTCGATCGGGTCGACAAAGACAAGGCGAGGGAAGGGAGGGAGCTTCCGGGCTCGTTTTCTGACAACCCGCGGCGCATCTTAACCCCCGCGGATGAGCGCACGTACAACCGGCATGCCCCGTGTACCCACTTCTAGTCGATATGTACAGCAGTTCCTCTTTGCGCTTGGCTCATAGCACGACCTACTCGTTTTGCTGTTTCGGGGCGTTGGTTGTTTGCTCCGAGCTGCTACCAACAAGCTCTTAGGCTTGGTGTATTTTCTTGAGTCTGGGGTACCTCTTTGTGCTGCTGTCGAGGCCGCCAAGAAACCATCGCGTATATTGTTATTGTTTGACAGAAATGAGGCAGGTAACAACCGTCGGCTTGGACTCAAAAGTTGGAATGTATGTTTGTCGTGGTCGGTCGTTGCTGCTGCTGCTGCTGCTGCTGCTGCTGCTACAGATGAACGGAAATGAGGGAGGTGAAAATCGCTAGCTTGGACCCAAAAGTTGAAATGTATGTTTGTCGTGATTGGTTGCTGCTGCTGCTGCCGCTACTGCTGCTACTCGCAGGTGGCCGGGTACGTGAGCGGGCTGCAGCAGTCGGACGGGTCGTTCTTCGGCGACGAGTGGGGGGAGGTCGACACGCGCTTCTCGTACTGCGCGCTCTCGAGCATGGCGATTCTGGGGCAGCTCGACAGCGGGAAGATCGACGTCAAGAAGGCGGCCGAGTTCGTGGGCAGGCAAGAAGTGACGGCCGGGTCGGCCCACTGCACACCCTGACTGGCTCGTGTTGTGTTAAAAGGCGTATTGTTTCGGCGGATGAGTACGAACACACGGCGGTGTCATGTTTTGTTCCTGCGGCATTCGGAACGACCGACGGCTAGAGAGCAGAGCAGGGCGCGCGGGCGACGCACGCGCCGTCATGAAACTGCAGTGTACCGTTCTTGGTGTAACAAGAGTCTGTGTCATGTGAAACTCGGGTTGGCTGCGTCGAGCCGGTTTGTTTGGTTTGATCGACGGGTTGCTTTCGTCGAAATCCAGCTCGCATTACAAAAGCTCTTGTCCTCCGACGGCTGGACGGAATCGATGACCTTTTCAGTCCCCGTCGCCCCCCTCTTTGTCTGATTTCGTTGTCGTGGTCGCGGCCACCACCCAGCAGATGCCGCAATTTTGACGGGGGGTTCGGCTGCATCCCGGGGGCGGAGTCGCACGCGGGGCAGATCTTCACGTGCGTGGGGGCGCTGTCTATCGCGAGGTCGCTTCACCTCGTCGACGAAGGCGAGAGGATGATGACGATGATGATAATGATCAAGACGATGATGATAATGATGATGATGATGATGATGATGATGATGATCGAGGGCCGGGTAGTTTCGTTCGAACCAGTCATATCTACCGAAGAACACACTAAGGAAGAAAAGTGGTACTTGCGCTTGTCGCGTGTGCGTACAACGCAGACGCGATTGGCACACGCTTGTCACCAAGTTCCACGAGGCGCACTCACTTACTCACTAAGGCCGTATGTACAAGCGCAAGGAGTTGTTTTTCTCTCTCTTTTTTTTTGTCGCCTTCTCGGCAGCCCTTTTCTTGCGCCCCCCCTCGATCCTCTCTTCCGTGACCTTTACGCCATACCATTTGGCGGTTCTGCCCATGTCCCTGGTCCCCCTCTCTTGGGGGTGCAACTGCCTTTCCTCCGGGTTGGCAACAACCGCCAGGTCTGCTGGGCTGGTGGCTCTGCGAGCGGCAGTGTGACTCGGGTGGCCTGAACGGGCGGCCAGAGAAGCAAGCGGACGTGTGCTACTCGTGGTGGATCCTGTCCTCTCTCAAGATTCTTGGCAAGGTGAGGGGCTGGCGATTTTTTTCTCGGCGCCTTGCGTCTCTCCTCTCTCCAACGGCATCTTTATGAAACTTGCTGCTGTCCTGGCCCATGGCCTTTTTCCGCCTCGGTTCCCACCGTCTATCTGAAACTGGCGTATTCCTGGAGATAGAAAGCGTGGCCCTTCAGCCCTTTTTTTTTTTTTTGTGGAGGTTTTGAATGTCCGAACGTGATTGATACCTTCAGCGTGTTTTTTTGTTTTCCTTTTCGTTTTCCCTGTCTTACCATTCCTTCCCTCGTTGGTTTCGCATCCCCGTATGCACACTTCCTGTCAAAGACGTGCACGCCTTCTTCCGTCGTGCCGGGGAGTGTCAGTGACCCGTTCGTTTCCATCGGCGATCTTTCTGCCCGCACAACTCGACTGCTAGCTCGCGTCTTCGCCGTTGTCGGTGCTCCCCTTGGGTCGTCCCAACAACACATGACGAAACGGCAGGGTTACAACCGAGATTTGTAGAGTAATGTTCGCTCGACGAAACGAGGCGTTACGGTTGCCGCTGACCCTCCTGCCAGTGAGGCGATATAACTCATGCACTATTAGCAATACAGCAGTGTGCCATATGGCTTGTCTGCCGCCTTACCACACATGCACACCCCGGGTGATTTCCCTGGCCCCCCTCCCCCCGCGAAGGTGGACTGGATAGACGGGGCCAGGCTGAAGGGATTCATCCTGCGGTGCCAAGACTCGGAGGACGGGGGCATCGCGGAGAGGCCGGGGAACCTGGCCGACATCTTCCACACCTTTTTTGGCATCGCCGGCCTGTCTCTCCTGGGGTACTTCGATGGCAGGTGTGCGTGCCAGTGCCTGCGTTGTTGTTTCTCTCCTTACCGTAGCTGGCTGGATTACTCCGCAACCAGGAAGGAGGGTACGGCAATCGGCCGTCAACAACAATAAAAAGTTCCCTGTGTGCTCGTCTCCTCTAGGCTCCCATCCTCCCGTCTCTCTCTCTGTGTCTGTGTCTCTGTCTCTCTGTCTCCCTCTCCCGCTGCTCCGACTTTCTTTGCTGACCGCCCCGCCTTCTTCGACGCTTGTTTTTGACTGTCTTGGACTTGGACACTTGTGGGAAAATCCGCAACGAACAAACACCGCAGGGAGGGATACGACAGCTTTCTTCCGGTGGACGCGGTGTATGCCCTCCCCGTGCCGCTCGTCGAGCAGCTCGGGCTCAAGAGCGAGATGCGAGAGCCCGTCCCTCTCCCCCCGGGGGCAACCTGAACAAACTGACCCGACGTCTTGTAATCCCCCCCTGGTTGTTGTTGTTGTCTTGGCATTGGAAATCGTTCCGGTCTCTTGGTGTAGTCAGTCCATTGTTAGAGAGCTCGATGTCTCCATGAGGTTTCAATGCGTACAGCAGTACCTCTGGGATGTTTGTCTCAAGTGTCTAACACACGACGCGGGTAGTGTCGGCAAACATGCTTGCCCTCGTCCTGCTTTGTGGCGTTTGGCTCTGGTACATACGGTACATACCTCCCCTTCGCGGAGAGAACCCGTATGTCAAAACTCATCCGAGGGAGTGGGTGGGGGGACGGCGCAGCACGGCATAACTTTGGACGGCCAGTTGCACAGCGAATGTGTAGGGGGGCGGGGTCAGCGTTGTTGGCGTGCACTTTTGACTGCTGCTAGCGCTGATGGCTACTCCTAGATTGTTTTTTTTTTGCTGTTAGAGCGGGGGCGCAGCAGTGCGCGTGGCACGAACCCTCCCGAACCACAATAGCAAGTACCCAGAGACGAAGAGCATGCAGTCATGCCGTCACCAAGAACAACTGTGAGGGATACAAATGCACCTTGAGCTGTGTTCCTGTTCTGTCTAGGCGGTTCGTCAAACCTTGCTGCCTCGGGAACCTCGTGATGCATGCGTGCCTCGTGCGTTTGTTCTCTCGAGAGCCACCAGGGTGAGAGACCCTGGGTATGTTAAGGTAGGCGTACGTTGTCGCCGTCTTGAAAGCATCGACCCCTCTGGCATTACAAATACGCCGGGAATGCGCCCGTCCTCTTTTATTTCTGACCAGCCAGACTACTGTTGTCGCGTGCTACAAGTAGACCAGTTGCATCCCAAAACAAATGTGGCGGCAGCCGAATACATACAGACAGGTTCTACGACACCTCTTGCTTCACGGTGTGGTTCGTCATTGGGACTTTTCAAGAGCCTACACGGGGAGTAGGAGGGTGGACGCGTTTCTACAAAGATGTATTCCTTCGAGGGAAGATGTATTCCTTCGAGGGAAGAGGGCGGGGTAGGGTTAGCGCGCACCAGCCTCCGAGAATCGCAGAGCCTTTTTCACCTTCACTAGGAGGGAGAAAACGAGTCAAAGATCACCCACTTGGTTTTCAGCTATTTAGTGTCCAGCACAACTACCGGGACAGGATGTCTACTTATAGTCAGCTTATCGACCACACATGCCAAGGGTCTAACCGCTACAGGTGGGTGCTGACGATAAGAGTCTATTTGACCAGAATTCTAACCTTGTTCTTGTATAGTGGCGTTCATAAACTACCTATTACTTCTACAACGCCACATGAATTTTTGCTATATACACCAAAGCTCTACAGTGTAAGGCCTGCAAAAACACCCAGTCACATCTTTGTGAACAAAAACGAGACGCTGCTGTCGCTTGTGGCACTGAGCTCGTCCACCAAAGGCAACAAAAAAACAGCTTGTACACAACGAAAGCGAGAGGATTACTCCAACAGACACCAGCGGGCGCAGCACGCGCCGCTTCCTCGCACCAGGCCGGCATCTGTGTGCGTGCGTTCGCGCGAGTCCACGTTCTTCCTGGCGAGCAGCACAACCCACTGGTAACTGTTAAGCTACTCAACCAACCAAGGAGCGCCGCACAAAAAGCTGTTGTACCCAAAGTTGCGGCGTCCAAAGGCATGCAAAATGACAAGTCGCCAAGACAGACGCATTCCAATCGTGCTGCAGCGAGCATTTTCGCCACCTGTCGTCAACAACGCCACCCGTCCCCCTCGTCGAGGAATTTACCACCAGCGGTCCTGCTGCTGCTTCTTCTACTGCTGCTGCCGCCCCTAGCACCGCCGTTGCTTCCGCCGCCACCAGCACCGCCGCCACCGCCGCCGCTTCCGCCGCTTCCGTCGCCACCGCCGCCACCGCCGCCACCGCCGCCGCCGCCGCCGCCGGCAAACTTGTCCAGCCAAGCGCAGATCGAGAGCGGCGGAGGTCTTCTCCTCGCCGCCCTACTCGAGTCCAGCCACTCCGCCAGCATCTCGTCCGCGTCGGCCCCGCGGGCGACGACGCGGGGCGGACCCAACCCGTCCCACTCCGGGTCCAAGGCCACGAGGACGTCCGAAAGCGGCCGGCTTCGCTTCCGACTGCCGCTCAGGAAGCCACCCCGGAGAGGTCGCACCGGGAGCTTCTTGGCGGCGGCCTCGAGGGCCGAGAGCGCCGGGCCGTCCTCGACCTCCATCTCCACTGTGTCCGGGGTCGCGGTGGCCGGGGTCGTGGTAATAGGTCCGTCTAACACGCTAGCACCGCCGCCGCGGCCGCCGAAGCCGAAGCCCACGCGGCGGCGGCCGCTGCTCCTCGTGCCGTTCCGGGAGGTTGGCGGAGCGCGGCCGCGATTGCCGGCCGCGCGTGCGTCGTCTTCGCTTCCGTCGCTGTCGCTCTGGCCGCTCTGGTTGCTCCCTGCTACTGCTGTTGCTCCGCTACGACGGCCACCGCTGCCGCTGCCGCCGCCGCCGCCGCCGGTCCGGAACACGCTCCGTATGTCGCACTTCTCGGCGGCGTTGCGAGCGCCGCTGTTCGGATGGCAGCGCCCCTCGTTCTGCCGTTTTTGGGTGAGGCAGCTCAGGCCCAGCCCGCTGCTGTTCGGGGACCCGACGTTCGACGAGGACGAGGTCCCACCCGAGAGTACTTGCGGGGATAGGATGTCTTCAGGCGAGAGGGAATCTTGAGTGGCGGCACCGCTACCGCCGCCGCCACCGCCGCCGCCGCCGGTCCCCGCCGTTCCCGCCCGCATCCCACCCCCTGCCGCGCCGTTGTCCTCGTTGCCCTCGTTCGTCGGATGGGCTCTCCCTTTTCCTTTCGCTCTCCCTTTGCCCTTGTTGGCGGCCTTACCTGCACGCGCAGCCGGGGCTGTTCGACGCGATCCTCCTATTCGTTCTTCCTCCTCCTCCTCCTCCTCCTCCTCCTCCTCCTCTTCCTTCTCCTTCTCCACCTCCTCGTCGCCGTTGTCCTTCTCTCCTCCGTTTTGTCGCGGCTCCGATAGCTCCAACGCCCCGTCCCTGGGCGCAACGTCCAGTTGGGTGAACCCAACTGGGATCGGGTCCGTACCTTCCTCTTCCTCCTCCTCCTCCTCTTCTCCCTCCTCCTGCTGCTGCTCTCGCTTCCTCTTGCCATTCCCTCCTGCTGCTGCCGCTGCTGCTGGCTGGTTTCCGTTAGCAGCTGTCCGGTTACCTGCGGCCTCGTTGCCACCAGTGCGTGCCGCTCGCGCCCCCTGCCCGCCACCCCCCTGCCCGAGTGGCTCGTCCTCGTCCGCGTTGTCCCCCCCGACGAGGTGCGGCACGACGTCCGGCGATCCTGCAACAGTTTCTTCTCTCGTCGAGCCTGCCCGCCCACCGTCCGATGCCACTGCCGCTCTCCCAGCAGCACCACCACCGCCGCCGCCGCCGCCGCCACGTGTCCCCGGCGAGGGCGGCGGCGACGAAGGGGTCGGCGACGCCGGGAGCATGTCCATTTCTTCCTGGCTGAATACGTTTCCAGCGGACGGCGCTTGGGTGTGGAAGTCGCCATCCCCTCCCCCGAAGTCGCCATCGTCGTAGTCCATCCCGAGGCTTTGTTGCGTCATGTCGAGGAGAGACTCTTCTCCTCCGCCACCGCCGCCGCCACCGTTACTGCCACGGTCTGCCGCCGGTGACCGCATCCCCCCCGCTGAGGTCCCGACGGGTTCCTTGGGCTGTGGCTGGCTGCTCGGCGGTGGCGGCGACACCGTCGTCGGAATCACCATGAGCGCCGGCTCTACGTCTCCCCAAGAGAGCCCCTGCAACTGGGACACAAAAACATGGTACATGCCAGGCACAGGGGGGGGGACACAGAGGGCAAGCACACAATACAACACCCGGGTCGTGGGAATGGATTCCTCTAGGAAAAGGGCCGGGGGGATAGCAAACTGCTGTGTCAGGAAAGGCGGCCGTTTGTGGATGGGTCTTCGTCAGATACCATGCCACTCGAATCCAACTGCCGTGTTAATCGTGCTCTCTCGGGTGTATCCGGAACCTATCCTCTAGTCAAACTACAATCACGGGGTGCCCAAGCATTTCTCCCGCTCTCTCCCGGTACCAGTACAGTCGTGGCTCCGATATAAGAGGGTACCCTATTAGAGGGGGATCCGATAAAAGAGAGTCGAGAGCCTTTGTCACAACCGCCTATTACATCGGAGCAACGAGACTGTCTGTATGCAGCGGATACGATTTGCTCCTGTGCGCCGCAGCGTCGGGCATGAAAGAGCTACCACCGCGACGCCCGACCTCTACCGCACGCGCTGCTGCTAGAATGACATCCATCGACCAACAACCAACACGCACCTCCGGGTCTGGAGCATTCATCACCACCCCGTCAATGTCTCGTAGGTCGGTCAGCCCTTGGCCGCGCGCCAGGGCTCGCACCAGGTCTTTGGGGTTGGAAAGGGCGCGCCAGATGGCGCGAAGCTCTCGGTTCCCCTCCCCGAGGTCCGTCGGCTTCCCGATCGTGGTGGTACGCTCGCCGCCGAACAGCGCAAACTTGTTGATCTTTACGCCATCAAACACGGATCGTCGGGGGGGGGGTGTACTCATAGTCGTGCATGCCGTAGTCGTTTGACCATTGACCTCGCATCCCTACAAAGCCGGGACGGAGCATGCCGGGTTCTCACCGGACCAGGCTCTCACATCACCAAGCGCGAAGCGCCGTGAGGTATTTGGCGAGTCGCATGAAGGGTGAGCTGCCATCCTGCTAAGGGTGTTCGGCATCTTGTGCTTACTTCCTTGCGTACGGATGACAGCTACGTATGACTTAATTTATTTTCTGGTGCTTTCACTTCCAGAGACAGTTGTAAGCACTGTGTAACTGCCTCGAGGAAGCTTGACCATTTTAACACAACGTGGTGCGATCATCCCCCGTTGCGCGGAGTGAGATTTCTCCACCCCGCATAACATGATCTACTCGACCACCCTTATGGTTACCGCCAAAAAAAAAAACGAGGTAAAAAAAAACCCCGTAACCTGGTTGCCGAGTTCACGAAGTGAATTGGCTTGTTTTACAACGTCGTTGCCAAGCGACGAAAACCCAATCCCGATGGCAAACACCGAGTGGGGGGCTTGTTTTACAACGTCGTTGCCAAGCGACGAAAACCCAAACCCCGATGGCAAACACCGGGGGGGGGCGGCTTGTTTTACAACGTCGTTGCCAAGCGAGGAAAACCCAACCCCGATCACCGGGGGAGGGACCGGGGAGGAGGAGGGGGGGGGATGGAAATTGAAGCTCAAGGCAGGTTTGTTCATAGATTAGCCACCGAACCCAAACACCTCGAGGTGTTATGCATGCGTCGTGCTCCGGCCCCCACGCGCTGGTTTATTCTTGTTTCGCAGCAGGGACAAACCACGGCGGGAAATCGAATGGGTAAGTCGGCAAAGCAACCGCACCGCCGCTTCTTGTCGATTGCTTGACGCAGCAGGACCATGGTCAAAACCGAACGGCACGCCTATAAAAAGAGCCCTCAGAAAGGTTTTACCTCAGAGCTGTCATGTTATACTATAACATCCATTCACTGGGCTTGACCTTGCCGTATAAAAAAAGTGGGCAATCCTTCACCGGAGGGTGGATCTCGCGTGATGGCCAAGGCCCATGACAATTGGCACACGTAGACTACCGCAAGGATGTACGAGACGTACCAAGTTGGTGTTCGTACCCTCCTGGTTGTGGAGCAATCAAACGTTAACACGCCCTGTGCGAACCTTCGCATCCTCACGGTCATATCAACCAACGAACAAGGTACGAGCCCAGAGACCTCCATTTGTCCATCACAACGCAGACACAGGTGGGGGTGGCAGTCGCTGTGCGAACCTCAACCTTCGCATCCTTTCGGAAATATCATCCAACGAAGTACGATAGCAAGGCACGACCACACAGACCTCCATTTTTCGACCACAACGCAGAGACAGGTGTTGTTGGGGGCTGCTTTCGCAAGCGCCACAACGCCCCCGCCCCCCGTCCTGACACCTGCCCCGCTACCCCGCCAACAAGGCGGCACTCACCAGGATACAGATATGGCCATTGGCTTTCGCCTTCTTCTCGTCGAAGGTCGGACACAGCACGTTTATCGACGAGAACTCCCAGTCGTCGATGGTGATGGTCTTGTTGTTCAGGCTGGCGAAGGTCGGGTTCTTTCCGTCCAAGAGGAACTGGAGTTGACGGCGCGGGTATGAAAGAGGCGTTGCGTTTTTCGAGTTTTTGAAACTCCGGCTTACTATGCGCACCCACACAAAAGCAGCAGAGAGATACTTGAAAGTTTGTTGCCGATGACGACAGGGAGCCGGCAACGACTGGGCAAGGCGAAGGTCTCACGACGCACCACCCATCGGTAGCTTGGGGTGTGGGGCTCAGAGGGCTGAGAGCCAGGACAGCAGTTGGTCGGCCGTTGGAAACTACTGCCAGTACCCACCCACGCTCGGACGCCGGCTTTTCGTTCAAATTCAGCAAACCCCAGCATTTTCCAAACACAAGGAAAAAGGGGGCGATGGCCTCCTATGCGAGTCACCTTTTCCATGCCCTGCTTGGTGACGAAACACCACACCATGGTCTCCCCGTCATTGATCTTCAGCCCGCTGCACCCCTCGTTGACCTCGACGCACTGGACGTGCTGCCGGCGAGTGCGAATTCGTCGAGACGTAACGGGCGGCGCGTTCATGCCGACCTGCAGGATGCCTTCCAGCTCCCCCTTCACCCACGCCCTGACCAGCACCATGATGTACCTAGAACCGGAGGGTTATCGGCCCACGGCACAGCGAAGAGGTGCTACAGCAGTAGTGATATGCACGTAACGAGACAGCTGGATTGATTTGATGCTGGCAAATGCGCAAATGCTGGCTCTGGGGGGGGCGCAGATGGTATTACCCGTGTTGCGGGGACCCTCCGGATCCTGACCCTCTGGCGCATTGTGAATGATATGTATCTGATCTCTGACGCTCGCGCTGCTGCTTCTGCCAAAACTAGAGGTGTGTTCACGGCTGGCGGGAATCGAGTGGGGGAGGGAGGGGATTGTCGGGATGAGTCTACATGGTGGGAGCGTGTTCAGCAGACTGAGCAAGCAGTCAGCGATAAGGTATCCTTGCTTTTTGAAGCGGTTTCTCTACGCATGCGAATGTTGCAACAGACAGTTGGTGCACCCGACGACACCTACATAGCTGCTCTTCTCGCAAAGATTTGTCTTGCTATTCATAAACCTTCTTTGCCTAGTCCGCCATCAGCGTGGCGGCTTGCTGGAATACCGTCTATTGCATCTCTTGCCTCAGAGAAAGATGGTGTGTGTGTGTGCTGATTTACACCTCTCGCCCAGAAATCCCGTTGGAGTTGGAACTGGCGCGGGTTCTTCTTCCGTAACTTACACGGGTCAGTCGGATGCAGGCACCCCACTTGCTCTTGACATGGTTGTCTTCAAGATCTTGGTCGATACTGCGTCTGGATCCATATCTACATGGCGAATACGTGCCTCTTGTTCGGAATCTCCAACTTATCTAAAATGACCTTCTGTTGCTACTTGTAGTCGACATGTATGCTGTCGTCTGTACCGCGTGACTCGGTACTGCGTTCGTTGCCTTTGGCAGGGACACGACCCAACTGGCCGTGCATCTTAGCAACGACAATGCCATGCGAAGGCTTCTGCGAGACGGGGTTGGCATCAACGAGATGCAAAAGAAGTACCTCTCCCTGTGCTATGTGAGTTTTTTTCCGACCGGTGGTGCCCTGGCTTCTGTGGCGACGGTACTGTCTATAAGTTTGTACAACGGTGATGAGAGCGTTTCTCTCATCTTTACGCGACTCAGGGTGCGTCGGTGTACAACCAACACCCGTGTTGACGTTCTTGGTTCTGTTTTCGTTTGATGTATTGCTACCCCCACGGGCAGTCGTACCCGATGGCTCTTCCTCCTGTTCGACCATTGACGACTCCGAGCGAGCGCACACCTTATCGCTTCATGCCAGAGTGCACGCCTCTCAAAACCACACCAAACTCGCACACGAATCGCACATAACCGACGACCACTGCCCCCCTTCTTCGTGCATGACTTGCTACGCCAACACGCCCACACCCTTTCGTTTTTTCTGCTGTGTGCATCAAAACCCCGGCCTTCGTCGTACATGCCCGCCCCAAAAGTCGGCCCGGTCGGCCGTACGGCCCAACAAGGACGTCGCGCAGAGCCTCGGCGGCGGCGAGCTGGTGTGGAACCTGACCGCCTGCGAGAAACAGGAGACTGCGGTCATCGCGTCGCTGCTCATGTGAGCGAGAGTTTGAGATTGAGGTGGACAATTGCATAAAACGCCCGATGAACGGTCTTGAGTGTTTTGCCGTGGGTTTGCCTGGAGATGGACCCCCTTCATCGCCTCTTCGTCGACGCCAAACGTGAACCGCCCTGTATTCACAGACAGGCGCTGGGGGTGTGCCTGAACCCTTTTGTGATAGGGGTCTTCACAGTTTAGTTGGTGTCTTCTAGTGTACAGCGGTCCCGTGCAGCAAGCAGCATCGCCAGTGTTGCACAACCCGGAAACCGCAAAAAGTATTTCGAATGTGCAGCGCCAGCGCCGTACAATGCGGTGGCATCGCGGAGGGTGTCAAGCGCGGCAGTCCACCAGCGAGTCACACGGACAACAAAAAACACATTTACTAGAGACGGGAGCACGGCTGCAGAGCGTACAGGTTTCGTTTTTTGTGACATACCTACGAAACACGTCTCTGGCGTATAGCCACAGCCTTCCTTAACACGCCGCCCTCTGCCGGGACCCTTTTGTTCACGCATGCAGCAGCTGCGGGATTTTTCATCGTGCCGCGCACGCAAGCACATGATGACCCCCTCTTCCGTCCCAAACCCCGTGCTTCGCCCAGCCCCGCGCCGACCTTCACGCCTCGCCTAACCATGTTATTTTTCCGTAATGACGACACACAAACAGGACGAAGGAGGCGCGGATCGAGCTGCTCTCGCTTGTGATCAGCGCCCACGAGGCCGGCCGCTCGTCGTCCGTGCGAAAAAGGGCGGGCGCGGCGACGACCGGCAGGCGGGGATCGCTGGGGTCTCGCGGGGGAGGGTCGAGGGAGATGGCGATGGAGAGGGATCCGGTGGGGGAGGTGAGATACATTTTGGGGGGGGGAGGGGTTTTCTGGCAAAGATGAATTTGGCTCATCATAAAAAGAAGTTCTTTGAAGGCTGCTGCTAAACTCATTTCCCTTTGAGAAAGTAAATTTCAAGGCATGATAGTGCAAGAGGTAAGTTTTTGATTTATAGAACATTTATAGACTAATTGTGCTTAGTCTCTAATTTCCAATTTATTTTAAAGAACAGAAACTATGCTGATAAGTTTTGCTTTGCCTAAATTTACCAGTACCTGCCCGGGCGGCCGCTCGAAATCGAATTCCCGCGGCCGCCATGGCGGCCGGGAGAATGCGAA